TTTCTCCAATCTTCACTTCCTTTTCTTTTATCCGATCCAGATTCAATCCTTTTTACTACACAATGAAATTATTATTAATTTTAAATGAATTCTTATCGAAGATGAATAAAGTACATTATAGGAAATAGAAAAACACTTAAAAGAAGAAATGACAAGAAGAAAATAAACATAAAAATTTCCCAAATAAAAGGACCTAAAGAGACTCAAATAGTTCAATCAGAATTCGACTCGAGATTATGATCTATTCCTCATGTTCTGCGACCGCGGCCCGCGGGTGCCAGGGGGTGAGCAAGGGAGGGCCAACCCTGGCCCTGACCCAACCAAAATTTAAAAATTGACTACATTTTTAGTGTAAAAAAATCCGTGTAAACATTTTTTCGAAAATATTCTTTGTGCCGGTCCAGTCCGCCCCAGCAAGGGAGGACCAGAGTTGGCCCTGACCCAACCAAAATTTAAAAATTGTCTACATTTTTAGTGGAAAAAAATCCGTGTAAGTTGAGTGTTAAATTCGTTGTAGGAAAATAGTTGTCATGCATTTGTGACCAGCCTTGCTTTATTACAAATGTCCCAATTTGTAAATTAAATTATAGCACCAACACTCAATAGATACCAAACAAGAATGTCATTCATTCTTTAATTTGCCCACAAAAATCACCCGGAAGCACCTCAAAACATTCCACCAAAAAATTTGGCTGAAAATCACTCTCCTAACACCTATGGCATCCACAATGTTGATGGCTTTTGACCTCATCCCCTCTCTTCCACATTATTTCCCACCAAAAGCTTAATCCCCTCTAACCTATCACACTTCCCCCCACTATGATGACCTAGGTCACTTAAAATTTGTATATTATATATTCTCTCCCCGGCCAAATTTTTGGTATATTCCACCATTATTAATTTATAATTTGAAAAAGAAATATAAAATCCACATTTGACCCACTATAATTATTTATTATTGGCATTGTATTTATAATGAGTTCGATCCATTTTTAGAGGAAAAATATTCTAAAACAGATAAAATAAGATGCAAGAGGTAAAGAAGTGGAAAACTTTGAAGTGACTAAACATATACTTCATTAGAGGGGGGAAATCTATTTTTTGGTATGATTTTACTTTTACAATACATTAAATTTAATGAATAATAAATGAAATTAGGGAGGTGAGAGATATTTAATGAGGTTGGTGGCTATTTTGATGGGGAAGAGAAGCGATTTGTTCCACACTTCCATGATACTCCCTCCGTCCCAAAATTATTGTCCTGCTTTCCTTAAAACAGTGCAAAACAGTGTCAAATAGTGTTGTTACCACTACTAGAAAACTGCTTTTTAACAATGAAAAAAATGGTCGTTAAATGCCCTCAAAATCGTCGTTAAAACCTTTAACGACCAAAAAAATGTCGTCGTTGGGTCGTTGTAATAGCTTCCCTCGTTAAAGGTTATAACGACGATGTTCATCGTTAAAATTAACGACAACATAAGAACTCGTCGTTAACTATTAACTATGACATTTGTGTTCGTCGTTACACAATAACGATAAAAAATATATTAATTGGAATTTTTTTACAGATCATTATTATTATTTTTATTATTATTATCATCATTGGATATATTACATAGCACCCAACTATTAAACAATAACGAGTAATAACTTCTCAATTTTCTCATTTCACATTTTCACATCACACCAAATCCCCAACTGCTACAGCTTATAGAGTTATAGCTACCAATGAAGAGGAGAAAACAAAGCAATATTAACAACTTAATTGAATTGAATTTGAATAAGATAAACTCAGTTTAAGTTTCAATTCATATTACTACAGAAATGAAATACAATCTCATATGTAACCTCTACATGTAAAAGCATGTTCTTTAACTGCCAAGAATGAAAAATCATGACAGATTCTAGAAATACAATATCATATATAAAAATAATTGCTCCTTGATTACAAAATGAAAGAAAAATGTATGGAAGATTCTAAAACAAAACTTCTTGATATTGACAGTGATGGGTGACAGCTTCTCTTCTTCAATTACTCAATGCTCTAACCTATTAAAACAACACCAAGCAACACACAAGATGTTAGAACTTGGTAAATGAAATATGCAACAGTTCAATAATACTTGAGAAAAAAATCTTTAAACCAGTTTTAAATTAATATAGAGAACAAGTATGTAGATGTCTTACCTATCTGTTTAAAGTTCACATATCTTAATATCATGAATAAATCCTCCAGTGTAGTTGATTATATAACTATAAAAACCATGTTCCAAAAGGATAAGCCCAAAACAATATAAACTGCATGGAAAATCAGCACCCATATATGTTCTTTATATAAAGCCAGATCTCTGCATAATTAAGCTAATGTGAATCATATCTGACACAATACAAATAAAATAACCAATCTGCCATCTACATTACTTTGGGTACAGGTCAGCCATCCTTTCTCTTAACTGGTGTCTACACTAAGTGTCTCACACAATTTTTAGAAATCCTGTTCTGCAGATTTTGAAATGGATGTCTTGCTGACAATGATCCAGAATGAATAATTATTCTGTTTTCAAAATATTTAGCTACACAGATATCTTGGGTGATTAGGAGACACTTAATTATAAGAGAAAGTAAGCTAAATATAAAAGGAATTGGATGAATGGATTGAATTTAAGGAAGTCTTACCTAAACATTTAGATAAAATATTGCACAAAGTTAATCAAGCCTTTAGTTGTTAGAGATCAAAATAGAAAAAGTGTGTTCTGTTTGTTTCATGTATTTGTGATTTTTAAACTCAGCTAGCTTTTACGTGCATGTGTGTTTAATACCCCGTATTAAATTTAGAGACATTTACCTTAAGAAATGATTTTTCTTTAAACACAGTACCACTAATAAGAAGATTCTAATATCCCAGAGAAAGCCTCTCTACATAACAACCTGCATAAACCCTTAGCAACAACAAAATAAAATATCACCAAGAATAGCAGAGTATGTATAGCAATCTTATGTAACATCAACCAAATCCCTTCAAACTAAAAGCACAAAATTAGTACAAAAAACTAGTTTGGAAACATAGCAATTTCAAATTAAATGACAACTTTTTAGCAATTGAAACATCTTGCCTTTATTATTTATCCAGTTATGATGTAACACTACTTTCTGAGAAGGAAGACAATTCCTCCTCTCCACACATCATTGTGCTCTTCTCCAAATGATGACCTGTGCTCATGATACCATGAACTTTAAGTTCCTGCTACAAACAGAGAAATTAATTCATATGTCCCAAATTTTATAGAGAATATAAGTGATTTACCTAGGGGTTTTTCCAAGTTTTAGATGTAGCGAGATTGAAAAAGTCAGCTTGATCAATCTAAGTCTGCTCGATCTGATTGTGCTTACATTTAAGCCAAACTAAAAGCCTGCAGATTTTAATACAGAAAAATAGATAAATAATTTTGCCATGAAATATAGTCATACAAAGCACGAAATTGAAATTGTTTTTATGCCTCTAATAAGTGATTCAAGAGTTTAGATAACAGTTGTGCAGCAACTTACAAGATAAAGACCGAAAAACACTAAACTTTAAAAAACGCTTTAGAAAAGAAATGAATAATGGTGACTAAAAGTTGAATTGAATTACCTTGAACGAGAAAGAAAGTAATAGCGGGACACTGCGAGAAATTTAGCAAGCGAGATATCACGTAAGATTGAAATTGCTTTTATGTAGCAAAATTAGTCAAGAATCTAAAAACGATTATATATACAGAGCATATATATACACATACATACATCACTTAAAAAGCTCAAGGCACTAAAGATTACAAGAAAAAAACTTAAACCCATATTAGAACAATAAAAACTAAAGATTGATATAACCTGGAAGAAAGAGAAGATCGACTGATAGAATGATTGAGACTGAGAATCGAGAAGAATAGTCTGGCCGGCGATTAATTATTGTTGGTTACTTTTTCCCGAAATTAATTGGGGAGAATTCGACTGATTTCGATCGAAGCTCATGAATGCTCTCTGCACCGCAGCTTATTCCATAGAGGACCCGGCGTTTAGAATTAGGTCTCTAGGATTTCATTTAGCGGAACGACTAATGAGAGGGCAGGAAAGATCGAGCGAATGATTTAGAAGGAGATTAGGGTTGAAATTCTGGCGCCGTGCTTAATTTTTTAAATTATACCCCGTAGTACTTATTACTCCGTATTATTCAGATTAGTTCTTTATAAAGAATTATTTAAAAAAAAAATACCAAAAGCAAATTAATGAGTAATAACGACGATTGCATATTGATTAATAACGACAACTTTTCTTGCAAAGTCGTTGAAGATGAATTTATTAACGACGAACTAATTAGTTGACGTTAAAAGATACTTTTAACGACGGATTTCGAGAGTCGTCGTTATATATTGGTCGTTAAAAATCCTTTTTCCAGTAGTGTACAGTGCCAAACAATGTCGCTATAGTGTCAAACAGTGTCACTACAATGCTAAACAGTGTTGCTACAGTGTCATTTTCTTAATCTGTGTGAAAAACCAAATATGACAATAATTTTGGGACGGATGGAGTACTAAATAAATAGCCACATGACCTTTTGTGATGGGTTAATCACAAAAGATTGTTGAGAACTCATTTTTAACCTCTCTAATTGAGCACTTCATTGATCCCATCGTGGGGATCCTCCCGCCCTCCTTGCCCCCTAGCTTGCTAGTCGTTGGAGGGAGGATGCATGCCATGATCGGTAGTGATTACTACAAAAAACAAAGATATACACACAATTCAAATTTGATATCGAAGACAAATCTGAATCAAAAGCGTTGTACTGGGAAATCTCTCGACAAAATCCGAGCCAAATACGAGAGTTTTTAGTAGTGATTAATGGGGCATAGATCAATCAATCCCATCATGTCAAAAGAATGTCATTCCATTCTTTAATTTGGGGACAATAAATTAAGGTCACCAACATATATAGAAGCATTTTTATAAATTAATACTTCGATTAACTCTGATTTACATTTTACAAAGAGAAAGACATCATCATATTCGCTCTGATCATTTCAACCGAACTGATGAACGCAATACAAGCCTTACATGCTGGAAAAATAAAAATAGAAAAATACAAACACAAAACACGTACAATATAATAATAAAAAATATAAGAAAATCTAAAGAGATTAAATGGTAGCTAAAAGAAAAATGATTGTGTAGGTGTTAAGATTCACATATCATATTTTCTTTACAATGAACACGAAAATTTGGTAAATACACATCAATAATATTGCAATAACAATTTGTTGGACAAAAGAAATTGTTATTTCTTTTTCAACTTTTACTTTGGGCGGAGAATACAAAATAGCCATTGATATGCCGCAGTCCTTTTGTTCTTCAAAGACTGCTCTTCCTATTACATGATTATACCTTCCAGCACTCCATGCCTGCACTTAAAAAGTTATTACATGAATTATTATACGAGTACATATAATGAATTACGGAGTACTTTTAAAATGACCATAAAGGTATTAGGTAAAAACATGATCGAGTTCTTATACTTAAATGACTACGTAGTAACTAATAAAGTATGTAGTAATACTTTTGTCCATAAATTATACGTAGTACTTGTGTTTCAGTACTTCAATATTGAAGGAAATATCCTTTAAAAATACTCAATGATGATTAATTGATGTCATCAAATTATTACTCCCTTCGTATTTAAAAGATCTCTACATTAGGGGTTGACACAATATTTAAGGGGAAAATAGTAAGGATCAGGACCGGCTCAATAAATTAGGAGACCCGAAGCAAGTCATGAAAATTAGGCCTTATATTAAATCAATACAATACCAATATTAAACCTTAAGAAAACCCAAAAAAACTAAAAACAAATGTGAGATTGAGAAATGATCACTTTTTCGAACTTGAACAAACAAAATTAGTAAAAAAAAATCTAATATCGGAAATGAACGAATGAAAATAAGATAAGAAAAAGTGATTTTTTTACCTTTGGTTGGATAACCTGAATAGTTGGATCATTCGGGAAAATAAAGTAATGAAATATTTTAAAAAATAACTACACTATATATATATATATATATATATATATATATATATATATATATATATATTTTGGTTCAAGTAAGAAATGCATCTAATGTGAGAAATGAGAATAAATCTCAGCCATTAGATTCACGAAGTTGCACTAAAATGATTTGATGTTGCAGTGATATTTAAATTTTGCACATGTTGCACTAAAACTGTTTCATGTTGCACTAATATTTGACGGCGTTGCGCCGAAATAGCTTCATGTTGCACTAGACACGTCTAATACGTACGGATTTTTCAGAAGTATTTACAGAAATGCCACTGTGCTAGATTGCATATTTCAGTGCATCATCAAGTGTTTTTTACTGCAACTTAGTCGAATCTAATGGCTGAGATTCATTCTCATTTCTCATCTAAAGAGTTCTTCTCACTTGAACCTTACTATATAGATTTTACAAAGAAAATGGGCCTTATATTTTTGGAGGCCCTGTGCAAAGGCACGCTTTGCACGCCCTCATCTATGGCCCTGGTAGGGATAATGAATAGTGTAGAAAAAGTATGAGAGAATGTGAAAAAGTAGGAAAGATAAAATAAAAAGTAGCAAAAATAAGGGTTATTGAGTATTTTTAAAGGAAAAATTTACCAAAAAGGAAAAGTGTGACAAACTTTTAAATACATCCCAAAAAGGAAAGTGTAGAGAACTTCAAAATACGGAGGGAGTATCATCAATTTGATGATAATAAAAAATTTTAAAAATGATAAAAAGAGGAAGATAAACCTTGTAAAAGACTGAGGTTAGATTTGATGATGTACGTAAAGATACTTTTTACAAATTGAATGTTATCACATTTTATACATTTGTCTCTCCTGAGCATAATTTCAATCACACAATATTCACAATTTATACTTTAGAAGATGATTTTGGGAAGGAGGGAGTACCAAACTTCGTGTAAAAGGCAATAAGAAGAAATGAAGGCATCATGTATTGCAATATGAGTCGATAACATGTTGTCTTTCCCATTTGACATGACGATTTTTGACAATTAATGTATTTAATTATATCTATTAAATATTACTCCCTCCGTCCCAATATAAAAGGCACATTTGCGTTTGGGGACTTTTTAAGGGTGAACACTGTTTGAACACTGTTTGACACTGTTTAAACACTGTTTGGCACTGTTTGAACACTGTTTGGCACTGTTTGGCACTGTTTGACACTGTTTTGTTTGCCAAAAAGGGAAATGTGCCTTTTATATTGGGACGGACCGAAAAGGAAAGTGTGCCTTTTATATTGGGACAGAGGGAGTAATTAACAAGAAATTGGTATTCCAAATTTTGCAACGGCAGAAGTTGAAAAGTATTCTACATAATATAATTTTCTGAGTGAACGAATAAAACATGATTCGAGTGTAGTATGTGATCGGACTAGTGTAAATTGTAATAGTCAACATGTTTCATCTATTAAAGAATGGACAATTATACATTTTTTTGTCATTAACATTATAGCAACCACTTGGAAAACTAGTTGCATAAACTCTAAGATTATCTTTGATGAGAGTGTAGTCATTACCAATTAAATTTTGCCCATAAGATGTTCGGATAAGATGTAAGGGCATTAATAATAATGCAAGTATGCATGATGGAGCGGGGCATAAATAAAGTTACAATTGAGGTATTGGAGAATCTAAAATATGTTTCCCTCCAAAAATGGACCTATATCTTGTTGGAATGAGAAGATGAAACAAGTTCAGGATTTGAGCAAAGGTTAGAGTAATGAGCACCTAGAGTTGTGTACGTACAAAGAATGAGGGAAATTAGACAAGGAGTTTATAAAATTTTGGATTTTAAATAGAGAAATGATCAAGATCATGTTCGTAGGACTCTATATATCATTAAAATTAAATGTGTGAAAGATGCTAATCAAATGATATTAATATGGGATAATGAAATAAAAGGGAGATGGGGTCTTACCCCGGTGTATTGTCAAATGGGGATCACGCACAAGATATTGATGGCCGTCTTAATATGGTGAATTTGAATATATTAAAGTGACACTCACTACTAAAGAATGGGGTTTTCGCGTCGATTATTCTGACTCTTTCACGTCGGTGACTAAGGAAGATGGATATCAAGAAAGAAGTTGTTCAAGACAGTCAGTAACGATTATTAAAGTCTATTAGAGAGACTAGTTTCTTGCTCGCGCTATGCACGAGAAAAGAATGCCCAATAATATTTTCATAGATATAATGAATGAAATGATTGTTGGCATAATAGAGTTATATGTTCAATTTTGCATAATTGATTTTCTCATTACCTTTTTATGATGTGTTAATTGTTTATAGTAAAGGCCTACTTCTGAAGTAATCATTTCTGCAAATAGAGAGAAGATATAAATTTACATAAAATTGGATTTTTTAATCTTAATAATCTATTTTGATAATTTTATTATTTTTCAAATATTAATAACAATAATTTATGTTTTTTTTATATCTTTGACCATAAAGATAGATGGTTATTTTTACTATTTTTTTTGCACCCAGTATTTGACCAAAACCCAGAGGTTTTGGGGTGAGGGCCAGGAAACACCTCACATATTTATTGAATTTAGAAAAATGCAAAGAGTAGGAGGATACTATTATTTATTATTATTGTTGTTAAATACTCCATAATAAATAATAGTAAAAACAACCATATAACGTTTTCTACTAATTGTTAAAGCCAAACAACTAAATTACAAAACATTTTCTGACAACCCGTCAACTTGTTCCGCTAATCGAACCCATTGACTAAATTCGCTATTGGAACAACCCGCTAATATAATCCGCTATACACTAACCGCTAAATATCAAACACGCCCAAAAAATTATCTTCTACATACTCGTATAATATAAAGTAATGTAGAGAAAAAATTTAAAATGTAAAAACAAATGAAAACATAAAATGGAAATTAATGCTATTAGCATATACTACGTGCTATGTACATAGAATGTTAAGGAAACTTAAGAGTTAGGATTTAACGGAGGTAGGGTCATAAATATGGGTAATGGTGAATGGTACAATAATTAAAATATATCGTACAAGTGCATATTGCTCAAGTATTACACCAACATTTTTATCATTCCTAAAATACCCTAACCGTCATTGGTGCTTATAAGTTTTTAGATGTATGTTGAGTGACTAACAAATTTCTTGTATAAGGTTCGAAGAAACAACAAAGAATATAATCTAGACTACACATTTATGTACATTTATTTCACAATTTATATACTATACTGGCTGTGATATTTTTATTCCTTATACATGCATATGTATTTTTAAGTATTACTCCGTATATCTTATTCCCGCTATCTTTCTGTCATCTCTTTCTACTAAGTTTGTCGAATATATATTTGATACTCCATAGTATTTACGGAGGATGTGATTTAGATTAAATCATGCATTCTAAAATCACTATATAACGTAACTACATAATTAGGATGTTTTTATTTGGATTTAAATTTGTTGGTCTGTTCTGGTCTGAACTAGTCTGATCTAGTAAATGTCTGGTTTCTGTGTATTTTATACTCCGTAATTATGAAAGTCTGACGTGATCTAGAGATGTTTGATTTGTTTAAGTCTAGTCTGACTGAAAAAGAGGAAGGCAACAAGAAGTAACTTAGAAGTAAAAGATAATTGAACTTTTTAGTTTTTACCTGTAGTCTATCACCAACGGTAAAAATTATAGCATTTTCCCGGGGCTGGAAAGAGAGCCAACATTTCTTGGAGTATACATTGAAGGTGGAAGACCCATTGGTAAAATGTAGAGACAAGGCATGAGGAAATTCACACCCTCTGATCAAAATTCTAAACACATCATAATCATAGCTGCTGTTTTGATCTGTATTAGGCCATTGTTTGTGGACATAGCATATATTGGAGCTTCCTGCTTCTTCTTCATCATCATGATTATTCTCTTCATGGCATGGTCTCCTTCGGTTAATGTTCTTCTCCAAGAGCTCAATAATTTTCCCAGAAATATCACCCACATCGCCTAACAATTTTCCCATTTTGTCTCTGAATTTTAGACAAAAATTTTAGTCCTCATACATAACTGTTTAGATATATTTACTAAATTGCGACCATTGGACTCATATTGGCTTTTCAATTTTTCATTATTATTTTTGGTAGATTTTATGGTACCCATAAGGTATCATAGTTCACATGAACCAATCACAATGTTGCAGTTGAATTATTTTAAACTAAATTAAAAATAATATAATGATTTGAACCACTCAAATGAATGATAGGTACGGTACCGAAGTTGTCACCATTATTTTTTACTCAATTTAGTTCTTAGGATACTGAATTTTTTGTTTTATTTAAACCAAAATATAAACGAAATCTATATTCCACAATGAATGACTAAAAACTAAAGAGAGTGAAAAATCAATAACCAAGTAGGACATACGAAGTATTATTCTTGACAATGTGACATTTTATTGATTGACTTTCACTTTTAGTATATCTTTATACGGAGGAGTATATGTTTTTTTTAAAGGACAGAGTATATGTTTCTTAAGTCAAATTTAACAACATTACCAATAATAAATAATTCATGACTTAAATTCAATATTCTAAGAGGCGCTAGGCGCTAGGCGGGCGCCAGCCCAGCGCCTAGCGCCTAGGCGGCTAGGCGGGCGCCTAGTCGAGGACTAATCGGAGACATAGACATTGCATTTTATCTATATTTTTGCATAAATATGATAAGTAATATTGTATTTTGTGTGCATAAAATACATATATACATATATATTAACAAACATGAATGATAGAATTATCACATTTAATCATACGTAGTACTCCATATATGATAACTGATCACTTGACTTCATTATGTTATAAGTATAAATATGTTATCACATTCATACATAGTTTTATCTTAATTTACAACTTCATTTCTTTATATCCATGGCTAAAGTTAAAGTATGTATATCGCTTAGAAAATTAAAATTAAAAAGCGAAGTAATGTTCGGCGAATCTAGACGGCCTAGGCGGCCGATTAGGCGCTCTAGGCGGGCAACTAGGCGCCATAGGCGGCCGACCAATTAGTCGGAGCGCCTAGATGAAAATTGGGGCGCCCGACCACCGCCTAGCGCCTAGGCGGGGACTAATCGGGCGCCTAGAACGATTTTTAGAACAGAGCTTAAATTTAATCCAATGTCCTTTTTGAAAAACTAAGTAGGACAAATTAAATATACTTATTTACTCTGGTCAAACACATGGTCACAGGATGTCAATTACATTTGGATCGGGATAAGCGTCAGTTTGGTCCTCCAAGTTGCAAAAAAGGGGTCAAATAAGTCCTTATATAGAAAATTCTGTCCGGACGTGCCGTTTGAGGTGGCTCCCGGTGGAATTTTTTGATGAAATTTTTTGAGCATCTTATTCATTAAGTCTAGTTTACTCATACCAAATTTCAGATAAAAATTCAATCGGGAAGACATTCAAATGAATTCTTGAAGATAACTGTGCCGTTAAAAGCGCTGTTATCTTCAAGAATTCATTTAAATGTCTTCCCGATTGAATTTTTAGCTGAAATTTGGTATGAGTAAACTAGACTTAATGAATAAGATGCTCAAAAAAATTTATCACAAAATTCCACCGGGAGCCACCTCAAATTGCACGTCCGGACAGAATCTTCTATATAAGGACTTATTTGACGCCTTTTTTGCAACTTCGAGGACTAAACTGACCCTTTACTCCATTTGGATCTAATAACATCATTGTGATACTTAAAAAAATGTCACAGGTTCACATGTCATCTCATTTCAAGAATGTTGGTTTTTATATTGAACAAATACTATGATATGTTAGAAAACACGACTACGCATTAAATAAAGAATTAATTCTACATTCGATCCTAGAGTATTGAGTAAATTTCATATTTGATTCATGTCTTATAATTTTTCACTTTTGATACAAAAAAAAATTCTTGCTCATCTGGCCAAATTTCGGGCGCTTCTTTAATCATTTTAATTGCCGGAAATTTTGATTAAAAGACTAAATCTTACTCCCTCCGTTCTTTTTTATTAGTCTCCTTAGGCTTTGGCACGGGTTTTAAGAGTAAAGTAGTAGGGGTAGTGTAAAAAGATGTAATGAGTAGTGAGTAAATGAAAAAGTAGGAAAGAGAAAGGGGTAATGGTAATAAAAGTGGGGGTATAAAGGTATATTTAAAGTAAAAACTTTCCTTAAATGGAAAGGAGGACAGATAAAAATAAACGTCCCAAAAAGGAAAGAAGGACTAATAATAAAGAGTACTAGTTTAAGAAATAATAATCGCATATCAATGTGATTAAAGTCAAAGAAGTTGATTAAATGTAGGATTGATGCAATATTCTTCTGATGACCAAAGTAAATTATTTACTACGTATTTGAATAAATATAAACAAAACATAAATAAATTCCAAATATTCACCCCACTATTCACTAATGGTGAATAATACCTGAAATCCAAATATCCGAGAGGCCAAAATCTCTGCATTTGCATGGAAAAGTCTGCATCATCATGGCACCAAACAAACTCTTCACTCCCCTGTCTCTCCCCCTCCTCCTCCGCATGAACCTCCTCAAAGCCCCATGGAATCTCCGGCGACCGTGCCGCCTTCACCTTCACCTCCGGCGGAATGCTGAAAATGCCGCCACCGGCGGCAAGAACTGACCGGATCAGTTCACCCGGGATTCCATGGTTAGTAACCTGAAAGCACCCAACTTTCGCCGCAGAGTCAAGAATCTCGAACGCCGTTTCCGGGCCCATCGATTCCAGGTGCCGGAAGTCGAGCTCCGGCGGATCTTGAAGCAGCTTCTTCCGGGAGAAAACCCGGTCGGGGAGGACGAGTTTGGGGACTCTGAGAGCGCTCTGGAGGTCGTGGGTGATGTCGGGATTGCGGCCGGAGGCCATCGGAGAAGGCGGTGGTGCCCGGAAATGGTGGTCAGCATAGATAGATCCCGGCGTGACGGCCATTTCTCCAAATCTTGATTCTCCGTCACCGGCGGTAGTTTATCAGTCTTTGGGAGTGAATTAGAGAGAAGTGGAGAGTAATTATAAGTGGGAAATTGAAATTGGAAAGTGAAAGAATCAAAGAAAGAAAGACTATATGATGGGTATTAGGGAGCAGCAATGATGGAAATGTTGGGGAGAAGGATTCAATTGGAGAATTGTAATAACAATTCAACCATCAATTGCCATATGTCTGTTATAACTTTTCTTTATCTTTTTTTTTTTTGTGTTTCTGCTTTACAGATGTCAATTTTTTTCCCAACTTTTCTTCTCATTCTGGTTGGCAGAAGATACCCTTTGCTGATACGTATAACACTCTGTAACAAGTATCTTCCAGTGAGTAAGAACTCTCTTTTGTTCTTTGTCATTATTAAGAACCAATTTGATAATGTTGAAATTGGAGGCATTGATTCAAATTAGTGAAATCGTTAAAGTTTCTATATACAGATGTTTCAATCTATATTCAGTCAAAGCTTCAGTCATATGGTACACTATGTTTATAGCAAGTTTTTGGTGTCGTATGTTGAATGTTTGTTTTAATTTTGTGTCATTTTTAGGGTGTGTTTGGCATTTAGCGATTAGCGGATAGCCGATTATGTTAGCGAGTTGTAAATAGCGAATTCAATCAGAGGGCTTGACTATCGGAATAAATTGGCTGGGTGTCAGAAGTTGTTTGATAATTTAGCTATTTGGCCATAAAATCAATAGAAAATGCCATTTTTCAAAACGATAACCTGAAACTCTCCTATTTGCCGCGTTTTCATTTCAGCGGTTCCGTCCAAAAAGGATATACTGAACCGCTATTTATCAAACAACGTTTTCACTTATCGTAAACGCAAAAAATGGTCAAACCGCCATTTTTTGGCTGAAACGCCATTTACCAAACACCCCCTTAGTCAAATTACAATTTTCTTTTGTAAAAAAACTAAAATTAGAAACGGAATTGAAACAAATCAAATACGGAGTAAATGAAACCGTAATTCCATGTTTCTAAAGGCAAAATCCAATCAGCTATTATACTTTGATTTCAGATCAAAAATCAAACCAATCCAAAAGATGGAATCATCCACCCCAAGCCCCTCCACACCCGACCCAACAGAATGGTGGAGGAGTAAGTTATGATATCATCTTAAACGGTTTATGAGTGAGATGGTTCAGGGCTGGGTGCGCACAAGGAGCCACCACATTGGATGAAACTCTGACACTGCCGCCTGACACTGCCGGGAATTGAACTTGAGACCTCAATCTAACAACCTCACTCAACCATCGTTGAGCTACCCGTGCGGGTATCACCCGTGCGGGTATCAAATCAAACCCAAAAAAATACAACCACACAACTGATATGTAATCGGTCTCGGTTTAGGGTTTCCATTTTAAATTGGATATTGCTCATTCTTACTACAGAATACATTGGCATAATTAGGGGTCAAGGTTCTCTTATATTATAGTAGAATCATTATCATTCTTCATGATAACATGTTGTGGATTAATTACATTGATAGGCTCATATGTTTTCTGATATTGCATGGAAGATGTCAATATCTGCCAAATTGAAGTAAGGAACTAAGGACCCTATCCCAATATCTACCAATTTTTAAACAATTGAACAGGACAGGCAGGGTTGGCCGGGAATTCGACAATTCGGACCAAAATTCGGTTTGGTTAGCTAAAAACTCGAAAGTGGCTAAAAAACGGTCGACACAGTTCAAATCCAGACCCTGAAAAACCGGAAAACCCTGGGTTTGTTTGATTTCTCCTAAAAAAAATAACATTTTTCTATTTTGTAAGCTCTTTTAAACCAAAAAAAACCGCAACTACAAAACCCTAAAAATATAAAATATGTAATATATGTGATGGATAGTCTACCCGGGGGGTATCTAATCCGAGGGGTTATTGCGGAAATAACTAGAGAGAAGTCAGAGCAAATAGGAGGAGAGAGAGTCGATTTTATTAAATGAACTCAGCGTGGAGTTGAGATGTAGGTTGTGTCGATTACAAGGAGAAATGGGCTGCTATTTATAGCAGCAATAAATGCGATGAGAGGACACGTGTCAGTAATCCAACGGCCGAAGGGTCACATCAGCCTAGTGGCACCGGCAGTGGTACGTCAACCGCATTGAATGCGGTTGGCGGATGCGACGTGGCATTAAATGCGGTGGTTGGCTGTCTCTAAAAGGAATCTTCGATGATTGAGCTAGTTCAGCCGTAGGCTTCTTGCGCAGCCGAGGGCTCCTTGTGTAGCCGAAGGCTTGGTTGAGCCGGGGGATTCCCCTGGTGCCGAGGGCTCCATAGTGCCGAGAGCTCCATAGTGCCGAGGGCTCCTGTCTTCTGTCAATTTCTCCCAGTAGCTTCGCATGGTCGAATATGGCGGTTCTGTGAGTTCTGGAGCCTTCGGCCAAGGAGGCCGAAGGCACCCCAGTGTGTATTCTGGGTTACTTTGAGGCTTGGGCCGTTGTATTTGGGCCTGAGTTGTCTTCTGGGCTCAATGGACTTGTGTAGGAGAAGTAGGAGTCTATGGGCCGGGGGTTCCTGGGCCATATACTCCATCAGGAGTCCCTCACTCCTTTTGCCGAAAGGTACTTGAGGGAAAAGGAGTAGATGCGTTGATTCTACTGGAGGCTTCATCATTTCGCTGGGTGCCTTTGCTGGAGAACTTGTCTTCTGCTGATTGCCGAAGGCTTCCCTCAGTCCCTCACATGTCGAGGGTTTTCTGAGGGAAGGTACTCGTAACCTTCGTATGTTCGCCGGGGGCTCCCCCTCAGTCCCTCACACGTCGAGGGTTTTCTGAGGAAAGCATAGATGTCTTGTCTGCATGTATTGTGATGTTTGCCCGGAGGCCGTATGCGTCCATTGTAAATTGTTGCATGAAGAATTTTTTGTTGTGTATGATCCCCGAGGGGTGTATCCCAGTCCCCCACTCCTTTAGGCCGAAGGCAAGTTCGGGCTGAAGGAGTTATAATAAGTCGATGAGAACTCGAGGGGTGATAGTTCTGACAAGTCGGGGGCTTATGCTGCCGCAAGCTCGAAGGCGTTTGATGAAATTTGCTGGCAGAAGGGTGTGGTGAGCGATAGCCGGAGGCTACCACTCGGGGGCACCCCTAGTGTAACCAAAATATAGTCGTTGTAATATAGCCGTTGGAAGAAGAGCTGACGTGGCATGCCTCCGTTGGTCGAAGGTGGGCGGGTGCCACCCATTGGTTGAGGCGAAGGTTTGTAATGATGGGTTTTTCCAATCGAGGCCCATCTATCGAGGCCCAGAGTCTATAAATACCCCTGGGCGGAGCTCATTTCCTTTACGCATTCCTTCTCTCTAGCGAAGCTCTGCCAAAATTTCTAGTGAGAGAGAGACCTTTTTTCGATCAAAGCTAACTTCCCGAGGTCAGTTCTTGCTCTGTTCTTGAGTTTCTCTGTATACTTTGCTTTTCGGCTTTAGATTTAGCGTTAGCGTTTTCAGTAGCCTTCGGCGAGAGTATTAAGTAGCTTTCCTCTTCTAGACACCTTTCCCTTAGCACAAAAAATGTCTTCGCAAACCGACTCTCAGAACATCTCGAGGGAGGCCCCGGTGCAATCTGAAAGCATTTCTGAGGTGGAGTCCTCAAGCGAGCAGCCTTCGAATATTGACGACTCGCAAGTGGCTGCCGAAGTCCAAAAGCGTCTCATAACCGAGGCCGAGGCCGAGGAGTTTGAGCAAGTGATTGAGGACGAGGAGATGGCCCTCGCGATCCAAATTGCCGAGGAGGAAGAAGAGAAGGAGAGGATGAAAGTGACCATCGCTGTTCCTCCCCCTCGTAACGACGCCGGAGCGGGGGGTTCTAGGCCCCTGGATCCGGAGCCTCTCAATGTGGCTCCCGGGAAGAAGAAGAAGAAGACGAGGGGGGCCTCGAAGAAGAAGCAAGCCGTCGCCGATGCGGGACAGCCCGTCGGGATTCCGGAGGGGCATTCATATTTGAACACCGCAGCTCTCGAAGTGGAAACCAAGGCCACGCATGCCGAATATATGGCGACGCAGTTCTTTGTTGGGCCTTCGGCACAAGTGGTAGAGCCGGGGCCAGATGATGTGCTCCTACGTCCCCCCGAAGGATGCTTTGCTGTGCACCTCCTATCTGTGGAGTTGGGGCTTCGGTTCCCACTCCACCCCTTCGTACTAGAGTATCTTCGTTTCGTCAAACTCGCTCCCTGCCAGATTACTCCGAACAGCCATTCATATCTGGCCGGATTCTTGTCTTTATGCCGGGAAAGGGGAGTGGAGGCATCGCTAGATCAGTTTCTCCTTTCTTTCAACCTTTGCCGGGGGGGGCATGCCAACAGCGAGGGCTTCGCTAATCTTCAACAGATTCCGGAGTGGAGGCTGTTCTCTGAGGTTCCTTCCCCCCATAAAGGTTGGAAGGACAAATTCTGCTTCATTCGGATGGAGGAGAATCCTTTCCCTGCTCCCCTTCGTGACAATTTCAAGAGGCACCCTAAAGTGGGGAATGCTTTTCTTGCGAAGGAGGGGAAGAAGCTGGTAGCCAAACCGGAGGGATCGGACAAGCAGAAGACAATCAAGGATGCCACCCTTCCGGAGGAGCTGCTTCGCCTTGGTTTCCGGCGATTCCGATTGATGGGGGAGACCGGCGACGAATACCCCCCGATAGATAGAGTGTATGAGAGCGCCGGAGGTGATTGCCGAAGGGTCCTTATCTTGTACTTAGGATATTCTTGTGCCTTTTGCTATGTAACTTATTTTTGCACGTTTTCCTTCTTTTCAGGCGCAGAGATGGACGCGAAGAACTTCGCGAAGCTCAAGAAGCAATTGGCCAAGGAGCCGAAGAAAAAGAAGGAGGGAGGACCCTCCCAGCAAAGGCCCGTTGAAGATTTTTTCCCGAAAGGGGAAGCCGTGAAGGACCAGGGGGCCGAGGGGGCCTCCCAAGTTGTTGTCGGGGGTGCCGGTGCCCTGAAAATTGAAACCGCCAAGCGAAAAGCCCCGGAAAAAGGGGTCGAGGCCCCCGGGAAAAAGGTTAAGAAGGCTGTCGGCGCAAAGGGGGCACCAGTGGTAATTTCTGAGGGCCATTCC